CTCTCTGGAATTTTCTCCTCTCCAGGTGAACATTCCCAGCTCTCCCAGCCGGGAGCAGCTCCACGGATTCCTCTGCATTTGCTCCGTCATCTCCACATTTTTCCCTACTGGATACACAACCAGGGACACCCTGAGTGGGGTGGGGTGGGGTCACTCTGATTTGTCCCTACCTGCAGCAGAGGTCTCTGCACTCCCAGGACCTTCATGGTGTCAGCATTGGCCAGGATTTTCAGGGGATCCGAGGCCTTGGTGACCCCTTCGATCTCTTTGTTGATCTCTGCCAGGACCTGGCTGAGGAAAATGTTCTTGATGTACACGGTGAGGAATTCCCTCAGGGGACACTGCTTGGCTGGGCCCAGCTCCATGGCCAGCTCAATCTCCTGGATAAACCTGGGAAACGCAAATTCAATTAATTATTAATAAATTAATAGTCATTTATTAGACGGTTTAGATTTGTTGGCGCTGCCTTTGGGAATTTGTGACGTTTCAGGGCTCAGCACCAGCAGTGTGGGAATGATCATGGACTGTCCCAGCTTGAAAAGGAGAAAAGCTCCACAAAGTAGTTTGAGGGGGGGAAAAAAAAATTACAAACAATTATTGAGACAAATATTAAATTGCTGGAGAAGGACAGATAAAACGAGAGAAAAAACATCCCAGGCAAAATTCCCGTTTGTTTGTCAAAAAAATTTGGTTTTTTTCCATTTGGGACATGTTGGGAAGATATCCTTATACAAATAAAATCACCATTAAAAAAAGCTAAAAATAACAAAAATCCTCTTGTCCAGAAAAATTTTGGTTTTTCCATTTGGGACATGTTGGGAAGATGTCATAAAAACGAAATCACCATTAAAAAAGATAAGATGCCACAAATCTCCTTGACCAAAAAATTTTGGTTTTTTTCCATTTGGGACATGCTGGGAAGATGTCCTTATACAAATAAAATCACCATTAAAAAAGATGACAAAAATCCTATTGTGTAAAAAAAGGTGTTTTTTTCCATTTGGGACATGCTAGGAAGATGTTTTTATAAAAATAAAATCACCATTAAAAAAAGCTAAAAATGACAAAAATCCTCTTGTCCAAAAAAATTTTGGTTTTTTACATTTGGGACATGTTGGGAAGATATCCTTATAGAAATAAAATCACCATAAAAAAAGATAAGATGCCTCAAATCCCCTTGTCCAAAAAAATGTGTTTTTTCCATTTGGGACCTGCTGGGAAAAATAAAATCACCATTAAAAAAACTAAGATGCCACAAATGCCTTTAAAAAGCCAAGCTTCCTTCTGGGCATGGTCACTTGATCCCCACCTCTAAACTGAACAACAGAATATTCCAGCTCAAAATCCAGAAAAAAGCATGGAAAAAAAAAAAAAAAGAATTGTCTGTGCATGATGCCATTGTCCTCCTGCATGATGGATATTTGTGTTATTGTGTATTTTTATCATCCTTTAATGTTCCATCCCAGGGTCCCATTCCTGAGCACACAGAGCAGCAGGAGGATTCTGGGAATATTTTAGCACCAAATGTTTGCCATCTCCTGCAAAAAAAAAAAAAAACCCCAAAAAATCTCTTTATTTCTGTGCTGCCATCTGGTTACCAAGGAGGAGTTTATTCCAGAAATTACCTCGTCATGTCTTTAATTACATCTGAGGCAGTGGAATTGGAAATTCCTTCCAAAATAATTAAGGATTGAGTATCAGGAGGGACCATGGGTTGAGGTTCGCTGTCCTGAGTTGTGCTGAGGGAGCTCCAGGTTGGATTTTAGGAAAAATTTGTGCGGTGAGAAGTGGTCAGGGTCAGAAAAATTAATCCATAAACAGCAGAGTTTGTGTCCAAAAAGGAGACACAGGAGTCCTTTTGGCTTTATCCCAATAAAGGGAGAGCCCATGGGACATTCCCCTGGCATCTCTCCGATTTTTGGAGCCTCCTTTTTATCCC